AAAAAAATTCTTTAAAAGTCAGACAAAATGATTTTCTCAATTTTTTTTCACATTTTGTCTCTCATAGTTGAGTCTACCTATGATGTCAATTACAGGCCTCTCTCATCTTTTTAAGTGGGAGAACTTGCACAATTGGTGACTGACTAAACACTTATTTTCCCCACTGCACCACTCAACCAACCATTTTGCCTCCCAAAACAGAAACACAGAGCTAAACAAGGGAAAATCAATATTGGACGTTAATATCGGCCCCGTTCTACATATCGGGCCGATACAGACACTCTAAAAATGGCCAATATCGGCCGATACCGTTATGAATGCCGATATATCGTGCATCTCTAAAGTCAACTGGTCAGCTTAGCTACAACATGCCTGTAGAGGCCTTAGATTCCAAGGTGGGTACAAAGTGACCAGACTGCTACGAGACAATTTAATTTGGGTATTAATTGTCATGGAGCCTTCAGCCCATTTTAGCAAAAATATTGAAAGAGGTGAAGATCTTAAACATGTTGCTGGTTTTGTAAAGATAAGAAACCCTCTAAACATAGATGCAGCTTTCCTGAGCAGACGTTGCAGCAAAGTTTATCATACAGTCGTCAGTGATTGCCTGACAGGTCAAAGGAAACACAAAAGCATTCTGCTTTTAATTAGAATCTGTGGTAAAAATATAAATGATTCCAAAACCCGGATTAAGACTATAAAGTGACGTGTCACAACTCAATATACTCGAAACGACTGACAGCTTTCTGCTCTACAGAACATCTCAGAGTCTCACTCTGCAGATGTGTTTCATCTGGTTGTCGTGTGCGTTTTCCCACCAGGATGTTTTCAAGTCAATTAGCTCAGCAGGCAGAGGGCTGTCCATTCCAGGAAAGAGCCCGCACCTGGAGACTAATTTAAACTGAGGTGGAGGGAAAACCAACGACTGCGTCCTCTTTCCTTTAATCAATAATCGCTGTCAGGAAAGTGAATTATCTGAGAGGGCAGCAACACTGTGTGGCAAAGGGACGGCTCTGACAGATAAGCTGGAGTAAACCTTGGAAAACTGAAACAACAAAACAACATTTGTGCTGAAATCTGACGTTGGAGACTTTTTTATGAAAACAGTTTGGCTTTAAAAGCTACAAGTCAGGGCTTTGGTGTGTGGGGAAACTGGTGAGTTAAAAAGAACTCCAGTCAGCCTTGGTTCAAGCAGGGTAAAAAGAGTTTAATGAGTCACTGTGTAACAAAAGTGCTTCATGCGTTCAACTGGAGTTACCACACTGTGCAACACTGATGGTGAAACTGAGAAGCCATGAAGGGAAAAGGGCAGTGGTAACTTGAAGAATTTCATGCTTTTTTGGATTTCTAATGTTAAAATATTCATATGAAAAATATTATTTTAATCATTTTAATTCAACGGTGTCTAATGAAAACATCCACCACAGGTAGGGGTGCCACAAACGATTATTTTTTTAATCAATTAATCACCAATTATTTTTTCGATTAGTCGACTAATCGGATCAAACATCAATAGGGCTGCCACAAATGATTATTTTTATTATTGATTAATCACAGATTATTTTTTCGATTAGTCGACTAATCGGATCATACGTTAATTGAATATAAAACATACAGCTTATCGTGCCAGAATGCAGCTGCTATTATATAAGCATGGTTAGAGTTTAGCTATATGCTAACTAAAAATAATTGCTGTGGAAGGTAAGTTCTATTCTGCAGATATTGCACAGGTTTCTCT